TATTTCTCTTGGCTGCACCGCTTCCAGTACGTGTATGTGGATGTTAGATTTTTTGTCCAATCAGATTTCAGCCTCTATGTGTTGCCATGTCAATCTAATCTGCCCAGGGCCTTCAGAATCAGAAGTGCTGGCCCATGTAACTTAAACTATATTAGCAATGGGACTGTTTCTTTAACCAATCAGATTTCAAATTTGCCTCACTGGGCCAGCTAGCTGGCCCACAATCACGTCAAGATTTTCTGTCCTCTGATTGTTTGGTCAGAGCAAAACTAGAAAAGGGCTTACGATGGTACTGAAACGCAGGTTTCACAGTTGCGGTTGTAGTGTAGAGGTTTTGGAGTTGTCTTAACTGGGTTTCTTGCTTTAGTAAAAACGGTATTCAACCTCAATACGCGAAATACTCCTCTCTGTAATGCCACACTTTATTATATTGCATTTTTGTATAGCATTGATGATTTCTATAATTGCGATGTACAGTGGTGGTATTAAGAGGTAAATTAAGTCGGGTAAGTCTCCACTGAAGGCCCAGGTACCAAATGCACGGCCAGCCACTGTTTAATATATACAAAAAAATGTCCATTTGGAATAGCGTTGTGTAAATACTTTTGTTTGGGAAACAGGTTTGGAAACTCTGATGTCAGAGTTTTCCACGTGTCCTTAAACGCACTGTACATTCGTGGATCATGGACTTTTGAGAGTGCGGAAAAACACTCTCAAAAATCCGTGTGTGCGCTGAAGGTGATTCGTGTGTGTTAGACGATCCACGCATGCGTAGGTAACAATGTGTACGTACTTTCTAAAGAACTGCACACAAAAAAATCGATTTTAAGCATTTGTAAAATGTGTTTTATGTGCAGTTTGTACAGCATGCATTTGTGAACAGCATGACACAAACACACAAATCGCTTGTTACAGACAAAACGTTAAACACGCATTTGTAACATTTTTGATAGTATTTTATCTCCATAAGGGCAGATGTGTACAGGCCCTGTGCCAAGTCGACTTTCGACAGTGTCATTCTGGCTTGAAGAGTTTGTTCCAGTTCACTCAGAACAGTCACTGACTCTGTAACCTTTGACCTCTAAAGCCTTACCTATACCCCAGTAAGGACACACAGAGTTGTGCACTTGCACACAGACAGTAGATTCACACACCCTTCTATACACACTACAAACAAGTGTCGCCACCATGCGTGCTTGACATGTGGATGACCTCATGTAAACAATGCAACTTTCCAGGATTTTTATTACACTGCAATGGGTGAAAGATGATGAACATGCATAAGTAAAGCTGCTTACCTGAGCACCGATGGCACTGGCCAACTTGAAGATGTACAGACCAATATCCAACAGAGGCTGTGGGACAAATATTAAATAACACCAATAATAAATAACGGAACTGTTCAAACTCAGTACGCTGCTCATAATAGCACTTGTTCCAAACAGAGGAGCATGTTGACAGTGAGATAAAGGTGAAGATTATGAAGCATCTGATCTGTGTCAAGCAAATATTGCTGGACTACACCAGTAGTTTGGTGCTTTGCCCTGTATAGTCTGTTGTTTCTGGGACTTAAAATCATTTGGGTAAATCTGGTTTTACTGGAGCAACGTCCCAGCAGGAAGATGTGTGTAATGACCTCGGACTCGAACCAAATGAGGGTGTTTACATAAACATTCACAAATACATACAGCCAGAGGGTTGCAGTGGTATACCAGTTTTATACCATGGTATGAAAATTAACGGTTTAACATACCATACACATTTGCTTATTACTGGTATTGAAGAAAAAAACACAACACGTGTGCACCTTTCTTTCCAGACTGCCTGTCAGACTCCACAATGGGCGCCACACGAGCACATGCAGCGGACATGAGAGGAGGAGGCTGATATCACCCCACTCCATATGTATGTATGTGTTCCACTTATAACTTTAATCTCAAACAATAAACACTGGTTAGCAAATGTGTTACTGAAATAATTTTCCACATTGTCTGCTTGTTCACTAATCTCTGAGTTACAAAAGGACTCACATTAATCATGATCTGACCCCAGAAAAACACACAAACCTTCCCATAAATGAGTATGTGTGGGTGTGTGTGTCTAGACAGCTGCGCCTATATTAAAGTAACAACCATACTGATAAATGTATAGAGCATTGTGATGGCTTGTCTCACTACTGTCAGAAGTTCTACAAACATTGTGATGGCATGTCTCACTACTGTCAGAAGTTCTACAAACCAATCAGTTAATTAATGGAGAAAATAATCAGCAGGTTAATCTGTAATGAAACTAATCAGTAGCTGCACTTAGATACAGACTAGTTCAGCAGAGCTCCACCTCAACCAGCTACAACAGCCTAGTTCTGCTTTTACATCAGTGCATGAGTGACAGGCTATTAATGTAATAATATAATATACTGCATAACATTTTAATACTTTGAATTCTTTAAGCACATTTTTGTATTCTTATTTTTACTTAACATTTTAAACAGGGCTTTTTGTAACAGACTACGGTACTTTTACAGTGTGATATTAGCACTTTTACTTAGGTAAAGAATGTGAATACTTCTACTAGTACTGGTGCTAACGTGTAAACTAACATGCTTTACTTATATAACATGTTAGAGTTATATGCCGTTTTTTTTAAATCATCTTTATAATGGTGTTTATTCTTTAGGGTCAATCTAGTGCTGCAGTCCAGCTCAGTCAACTGGCACAGTCACTTGCAATAAAAAAAAGTCATTCTTCTGAGGTTTGTTGTAGCTGATAGTAATAGCAACTGTGTAATAGTGTATACCATAATAAAGTGATACTTTCTTAGAAGGTTTCCATACAAGCAGGTGTAATGCACATCAACAGAGCTGCAGTGGAGATGCTCATTTCATGATAAAAACTCACACAGCACTCTGATCTATTAATCCCCAATTCTTCATTTCCTGTGATTGAAGGCAGATTGTCAACAGAGTCTGGTACCTTGCTGAGGTTGGAGTAAAGGTCCACCACACTGTTGCAGAATTTCTCCACATCCTGGGTCAGTAGCTGGTCTGCATTGGCTATCCGGTTGTCCAGGTTTCCCATTTTGTAGTAGGTGTAACCTCTGAAGATCCAGAACACAGGGTCAAGACTCAAAGAAGCCAGGAGACACGTGCGTCCACTTGTGACTGAACAGCCAGAGAACCAGAATCTCCACGTCTGAGTAACAGGTTCCAAACAGGTCACAAAAATGAGGTCAATTTGACCATTTTCTACAAGTTGCTTTTTCTCAGACTGACTCCTGGACCCTTCTTTTCCCTAACCACAGATTACACCATTATGTTACAGCATTACTGTAATTGGTTGCTAAATTCCATTTCATTATGAGCCACTCAGGTTTTTGAATCTAATCAAGTTGTGGTTAATGGCTTTGTTTATGCACAAAGTAGATTACTGGTTTGGGGGGGGGGGGGGGGGGTATGGAAGATTTCACAAATTTGAACCCAGTAATCTTATACATCCCTGGTGTCTGGTCCTGCATCAAGTTCTGACACAAGGACTAGACACAGGTGATACATATGGGAAGCCCTACGATGGCTTTCAATTTTAGAAACGTTGTCACATTGAAGAAGCTGGAACCAGAGAATGCTCTGTGGTTTTGCTTGATAAAAAAAAAAAGATTAAACGACAATCAGAAGATTCCATATAATGGTAAAGGAGCTTTAGTTCTGCTTTAGTACTTACTGCAGGTACTGGTCGTACAAGTTCTTTGTCAGCCTCTCACGGAAGCGCAGCTTCAATTCATTTAGGCCCAACTTCAGGAAGTTGTTCACCAAGGCTATCTGGAATGACCCAGGCGCACATAACTTACAGCTCTTTGCTTCAGTAAGGCTGTCCAGGTGATAAGGTTTTCAAATTTTCTTTAGTTTTTCAATTAGAAGCGCAGGATAGGTAATGAAGAAAACACGCACATGCAAAATATTTAGCATGACTTTACAAGACACACAGCAAAGAAGTAGGCTGGCAATAGTCTACATTTTTCTTATCGTTACCAAAAAACAATTAATGTTCCCTCCTAATAAGTTTGGTGTGTGGCTCCAATGGCTTACTGCTGCGCTAGGTAACCCTAAATGCCCCAAACATTCACTCAAGGACCAAATGTTAATGAATTAATAAAAAGCATGACTACATGCTCCACTGTCTAGCCTGAAAATGAAATGAAACTATACATTTATTAGCTGTTTTTAAAGATTTACATCTACTGTAGAAAGCAATGGGCTTGCCGCTGAAAATACAAAGCAGTACTGAGAGAGAGACTAATACACTGTTGTTTTTTTGTCTTTTTATGGGATTTGTTAGCAATTAAAAAATGTGGAATATTGCCAACCATTTCACATGGAGAAAAAAAAAAAGACTGCTCATGTTAGCTCCAGAGAAGGATAAGGAAAAATGCCAGGATTTTAAGTGCATGCAGTGATCCAATAAAAAGGGTAATGTCCGCGCTTTTCATATCAGGCCTCCTCTGTACACTTTTCAGAAAATTAAACTGCCCCAAACTATGTGCAGGTATATGAACTTGCACTGAACTACAGATGTGTTAATGAACTATAAATGGCATATCCTGTAAAATCAAAACTAAGTGTGTGACAAAACTAAAAGGTTAACAAAAACGCACTTACAACTGGCATGAATCTTATAAAGCTGAACAAGAGGATCTTGAAATCTTTTGTTGAGCGACCAATAATTGCACTGCAAACCACAACATACAGAAAAAAGAGCAAACATTGCCAAGAGGGTCAGTACAGGACATATAGTGAAGTCTGATAAATTGAATTTCCTTTTTGCTACTTTTCTGAACAGCCAAAACACAAGATTAAATTTGGAGTACTGTACAAATGACTTATGTGAATCAGACAGTAACAGAGGAGTCCTGTTATAGATGGACACAGGAATACCATTCAATGTATGTTTGTATTTATGTTTTTTTTAAGCAACACAAATGAGAGTGAATGCAATGAAACAAAAACAGGTTTTATAAATGAAAACCTGCAAACAATCACTTCCTTTATGCCCAAGTCTTCAGTAAAATGGTTTGGCAAGGAAGGTGGCCATGGCTCAACCTGGAGAAAACAATACTGTCACCATCCACAATTAAAGATACTCTGTTCTCTGGTCTGGTTTTAAAAGATTTGAATCAACTGTTGCACATTTACAGTAGATAATATCTACAAAAGGTTGCAAAAATGGGGTAAAGCTAGTTGGCGTTCCTGGAAAAACCAGCAAGAGGAAGCTCAATTTTGAAAGTGGACAACTGAAGAAATCCCACCCTTTAGGTTCTGACTTCTCTCCAAAGCCACTCCATGACATACATGACTAAGAATACAGCATAACTTAATAAAACAAACTGTCAAAAAACAGTAACACAGCCCTCCTTCTCCAAAGCACTTTACCTACAAACTGACAGGAATGCTACCATGCCAGGTGCTGGTGTGACCATGGGGGCCAACTTGGAGTTGGGATCATTTCTGATGAAACCTCTGAGAGCTGGTCAAGGGAGATATTATTTGAAATGATGAATTCACTCACACACCGACATGTGTATTTGACTTTTGAGCTGATAAAGTTTACAGTAATATTTCTTGTTTAGTCAAGGTTGCCTAAACCACACGTATGTTCTTATTTTTGCATTGCTCTAAATTGTTTAATTATTTTATTAGACACAATAATTTAATTCCTGAAACAGGTTGCTCACTAACATCAGCAGAACTTTTCTTGTTCCAAAAATATATTTTTCAGTAAAGTCATAAATGCATACATTGAATGGAATTCCACGTGAACATGTTTCCCAGTTCGTTTATACCAACAGTATTCTTTTTACCACCTTAAAAAAACCCACAGGACAATGCTATGAATGGAAAGAAGTGTAGACCTCAGACAGTCAGGGGTGGAAAGCACAACACATTTACAACCACAGCGTTAGGGGTTTAAAGCTAGGTTTTCCACTGCTATGAGACCCATGTGTTGGACAGTTACCCCTGGTATGGCTGTTATGTAGTAATAAAAGTGCTTCTTGAATAGATTGATGTCTCTGCTTATAATACCACTGTGGAGAAACAAAACAAAGTCATTAGTGCCTGTAAAGACTCAAAAAGCAACCACCTGAAGCAACACCTTACACATTTTCATTACAATTTGACATAAGAAAAAATAAACAAGACATGTCTTTTTTACTGGTATCAGGAGCTAACCACCTAAATTTAGGTGTATGTAGTTTGCTAGGTGTGGAATTAAGACATACTGTATGTTTTCAGTGTACAGTTTTATTTAACTCAGCAGTTACAAAGCAAACTGCAACTGATGAGTGTAACAAAAGATGTAATTTAATACGCATGCCAGTGAAACTAACAGAAACTACAGAACAATGAGCCATCAAACCTAAACCTAGCCTTGCTCCACAGTGTCCTTCTGATGTGTCATCTAATACGAATCGATGTCTGAGGTCTTTTGGCTCAGGCCTTCTGAATCACAAAAGGTTAAAGCTGAGGCTTTTGGTATTTATGAGCCTGTAATGACTTGACAGGTGGCATTCAATGTGCTGCTGCTATAATAGCTGTTGACAGTGGTGCTCTGAGGGTTATCACAAGGATCAAGGGCATTTTCATGTCTTTTTTATGTTTTGAGTAACATAAAAAAAATTCTATGCAGTTGTATTCTGCATCATTTTCAAAGGCGGAAAAACAAAACTCAAAAACTTTCCACACAAAAACAGAAGATATTTGCATACCAAAAAACACATCTTGTGGCTTTGGGCTGAACTGCCACTTTAAAATCACAGTCACTGTTTTGTTTTGTGTCCAATGTGTTGAGTACACACAGTCTGATTCCAATACTCACAGACTTCACTGTTCTGTTTAGAGCTTTACAGTCAGTCAGTTGTGGATTTATTGACATAAATATCATGGTAACAATATAAAATCTGCAATATGTTTTTCAGATCATGACTTAACTCTTTGTTTTATATAATAAACTATGGAGAATCTAACCTTTCAATCATGGTGCCATTCTGGATCATCCATACGTCACAGTAGGTCCTGGCCACCAACATGGAGGCAATAAGGAAAAGGTAGCCCGTCTATGGTGAAGAAGACAGCAACCACAGAGAATAGTTAGTAGAGCCTGCAAAAAAACCACTGTGGGTCATAAAGTCCTTTATCATTCGGCCCTGGACTCTGCTCATATCTACTGTGAACTGACTGGATAAGACTGAGGTCAACCAGGGGAGATCTTGGCTTATGGAGCTGGTGTGTCTGTATTATAAAGGGCTCTTCTATCTGCACAGCTAATCATAATGACATTTTGAAAAATACTTTTCCAAATGTCCAACTCTTGGTTATCAAATTACATGTTTTTACCAACACTGAATAAAATATTTTATATTGTGTCTGTGGCTGACGCAGCCCTTCAAAGTAGACATTCTGACCTAAACTTATAAACTGGATGCAGGAAAAATGGAACTAACATTTGGGGTTCATCTGACATCTTAAGAGAAGAGTAATCACTGTTACTTTCAAAGCAAATGATGTAACTTTATAACACCACAAATAATGCACGGTCGAGATTTACAAAGGACTTTCTGGTTCTGCTAAAAGCTTCCAACAAAATTTTATAATGCTGCTCAAAGATCAAATAGCACAGAAGTCACATCAGCACTTCAGTCTCCTACCTCCATACAGAAAACTCGAGGTACCATGATCCGCAGAATTCTAATGATTCGAAGGAAGAAAACCTTGTCCACCACTGCACGGTCTTTTTTGACATCTTTCTACACAAAGAGAAATAAGAACGGTGCTCTGTTATTCAACTACAGCTAACTATTTACAACAAAGTTGACAGAAACAATGAACTGCCATACCTCAGTGTTCAGTACTAGATCTGAGCCCCCTTTTCTACTGCAAAGAAAACAAATTAAATCACATAATTAAATCACTATATAGCTGAATTAAAGACATCCCACACCTTAGTAAGTCATGGCCACTAACTTTGTTTTCTCTCCAACATATCACCACAGGAAGCAGATAAGATCTTGGTTCTGTTTTAAAGACTGTCACCACGGTGTTTGTGAGGAGTGTTTACAATCTTCACACAAGAACACAGGGTTCTCCTATCTATGACACATGTCAGAGCAGTGGCTGCTGTTTCAAGCTTCTAATCTTCTAATTATTTCAGAATTACTCAGGTTGTATATTTTATGATAAGCATCCCAATATTAAATGCTGTTACATATCTAAATAGAGCTACAAGACTAACAGTTCAAGTTCTATTAAATTTCAATTTATTTAATGCGCAATTTCACACAAGTGTCTCAGCACGCTGTACAAAACAATTACAAGTACATAATAAAATCAATTAAAAACAATACACAATAAAACAATAATAAAGCAACCAAACAATCAAAACATTCATTTATAAGCAATTAAAACAAGTGTTTTCAAGCATCCAATATGATTGCTGCTCTAATATCCAAAGGAAGTGTATTCCATGGAACAGGTGGATGATAAGAGAAGGCCCTACATCCCATAGTTTTTAATCAAGTCTCGGGACCACAAACAATCCTTTATATTGTGATCCTAAGAGAACATCCTAACAGAAAAAATGTAGCCAGCTTGCTAAATATACAGACAGGGAGGAATGATAGTGGCTGCAGTTACTGTGTTGTAATGATGATGATGTGTGTGGACATTGGAAAACCCTGTGCCAGTTCAATCAGACAACAGGCCGCAGGGAGAGAGCTGTGTCGTTTTAAGGTTCTCTCTTCTCTCACGAATTTCTCTTAAAACATGTTTAATAGCATTTAATAATATTTTACAACTCTTATATTCTGGTGTTGTATTCACTGTGACGAGTTTACAAATGGCTTATAACAATTATCAGCGGATGTGTGCTATAATTAAAGCCACATGAGTCTTTGCTCACAAAAACAAGAAGGTTTTAAAATGAAGTCTATTCTGAACAAGCGAGGGAGACTATTTGTAATGACAATTTAAAATAATGAAAACCACTGACAGCTCAGGACGTGCACATGCCAATGAATGTATTATCGACTTAGGGAAAGTTACACAATCGGCCCTTATTAGTTGTGCATGCAACAGTCTGTTAAGCTGATTTTTGCAGCATAGAGAGATTCGCAGTTTAATCACTGCACTGAATTTTGAGTTGATCAGGAAAACGGGAGTGACCTGCAGGAGGTCGCTGTCACTTGTCAGAGCCAGGAGCTAGCTAGCTAGCAGCTAACTAGCCTCCTGACAGCGAACACAAGCATACCTGAAAAACAAATTTTCTATGCCTCAAAAACAAACATCAACATGGCACACTGCTATTCGCTTACCCGCCCTGTTTGCGCGTCCGTGTTCTGTATTTTAACAAGCACAAAACTAGCAAAATGCCACCGGCGATGGAGGAGTTTTTCGCTGTCAGATATCTACTAAAAGCCGCCATGTTTCTGACCCAAGGACCCCAGTTTGGTTTGCTCGAGTTTACTACAGTTCAACGACAGGCACATCTGAGATCAGCCAGGCACGCGCAAAATCGATCACCGGTGATCGCTGTACAATCATGGATGTAGCGCACAATGCATGCCGGTCATGGTGGTCATTTTAGTTCACTTCCTGTCTGACTTGTTGTTCCGACGTCATGCTAACGTAGCAAAATGTAATCTCACGAGATCAAGGCGGCAGCAAGTTTAGGATCCAGGTGCTGCTGACGGAGAAACGCCAAGATCTCACCTGATTCTAAGAGCTGATTGGTTTAGGTGTTGGATCAATAACATGATACGGGTTTTATAAAAAAGCTACATTTGTTTTTTAATATAAGATATTTTGATTGTACTATTCGACTTTTGCACTATGAATGTGTATTCTGTTAACAGAATCAAAGGATCAAAGGATCAAAGATTTTTATTGTCAATTCACTATATGTGCAGGACATACAGAAAATCGATTTAGGAAACAAAAATAGAATAAAAATAGACTAAAAAGAATAAGAAAACTAAATCAAAGTGATTAGGATAAAACTAAACAGTACAACCTAACAGGCTATGACTCAAACCATGTAGTGACAGTAGTGCAAATAATAACAAGAAGATTGTCAGATGGTTGTGAGATTGAGATGCACATGGACAGTAGTGCAAATGACCAACAGCAGCAGATATGACAGTAAAAACGGTCAGCAGCAGATTTAATATAACAAGAAGGGGGAATGTACTGGGTTTGTGCAAAACAGCAGAAGTAGTCTTTCTCTGTTCTGTAGTGGGTCACAGTCTAGGGGCGGGGGGCGGGGGGAGGTAATGGACAGCATTCAGCATCCTCACAGCCTGGAGGATGAAGCTGTTTGTAAGTCTGGTGGAGTGGGCCTGAAGACTCCGATACCTTCTCCCTGAAGCCAGGAGTCAGAAGTGGGAGTGTGAGGGGTGGGAGGTGTTGGAGGTGTCATCAGCAATACCGTTGACTCTGCGGGTGTTGAAGATGTCCGTGAGGGAAGGCAGAGGGCCGCTGATGAGCTTGCTGGCTGTTTTCATTATGCGTTGCAGGGTCCTTCTGCAGGAGGCAGTACAGGCTCTGTACCACACAGTGATGCAGCCAGTGATGACACTCTCAATGGTGCCCTGGTAGAAGGAGCACATGATGGGGAGTGGGACACTGGCTCTCCTCAGTTTGCGGAGGAAGTAGAGGCGTGATTGAGCTTTCTTGGCCAGTGATGTGGTGGTGTTGGTCCAGGAGAGGTCCTCAAAGATGTGCACCCCCCAGGAACTTGGAGCTGCTGTGCTGGATGTGAAGACTACTATAAAACATCTATACAGACCTGAAGCTCTGAGAGTCAAAATTTCCGAGAAGTCAGCAAACCAATATGATGACTGCATTACATGAGAATTTTAGCTCATTTATATTTTAATACTCCCTGTCACATAGAAGGGTAGTGATACAAGTAAAACAACAACTAATAGACATTGATTACACTGGATCCTGACCAACCAAAAGAGCACATTTGAAATGTTTGAGAACATTTTATGGAGCTGGACTGTGAAGACTGTCCCCAGACATACACATACAATATGTGTATACAAACATTTACAGTATGTTGGTGTCTTTACTCTGTTTATACAGTTTTTGAAATATTTGGAAAATTGATTTAGTAAACCTAATTTGACTCGGTGTTCACTAGTGACGCCTACTGTTAAAAATTATGAAGTGCAGCCATCATCGATTCTATCATTGAGAGTGCATATATTGACATGCTCGTGTAACTGTAAGAGTAAAGGGAAACATTTGATTTTTATTTAGAAACAACAGTTTCTATTATATGAGATAGATGCTACCCTTTATCTTACAGGGAGATAATTCATTTTATTATTGTGGTTTCTTATTTTCACTGTCAAGAGTTGAATCAAACACTCAGATCCATCCATCTATCCATCCATTTTCCTCCGCTTATCCGGGACCGGGTCGCGGGGGCAGCAGTCTAAGCAAAGGTGCCCAGACTTCCCTCTCTCCAGACACTTCCTCCAGCTCCTCCGGGGGAATGCCAAGGCGTTCCCAGGCCAGCCGAGAGACATAGT